AACTATCGGTATCGACAGATCTCAACCGATCATCTATCGGTACCGACGGTTGTAGTAAGTTTTTCTCGACAATTGAGTGTGTCCATGCATTAGTGTGTTTCATTAAACTGCTATTTATGATACAATATCTTTAAGTTTATCCAGTAACCCCAGTGAGTTTTATGAATGCATCTTGCAGGACACAGGAGTGATGGAGTTTGATTATTGTATTCCAGAGGAGGCAAGGTTGTGGGCCCACATTTCGCAGAGAAGTAACTTGAAGTATGTGAAGACAGTGATGGACCTTTTCGATGACCGACAGCGCGATGAGTTTCGAAACTCCCCCTTCGGGTATCTGGCCGAGGTTGCAGAGATTCAATTCTCTGCCCAGCTCATCCAGCAGCTCGTGTTCAGAACCATTCGCATTGACAAGGTTAACGAGCTCTAGTTCAATGTGCAAGGCAACATGATGAGATTCGGTCTACAGGAATACACCCTTGTGACGGGGTTAAGATGCGGTGTATTCCCGGAGGGTGATGAGTTTGATCGAGTGCTGGAGAGGAGAAGGCTGAAGGAGAGGTACTTCAAATCCATGGAGAAGATATCGTTGGCACAACTTCAAACTACTATTGCCCAACCTTCGACGACCCGAGCCGATCGCTACAAGCTAGGGCTCGTGCTAATAGTCGAAGGAGTTTTCAATGCCTCTGATAATAACGTCGGAATTGATTTGCGTACACTATCTATTGTCAACAACCTAGATATCTTTTTTGCCTACCCTTGGGTAGAGTCAGCTATCGGCATTTGTTGCACGGATTTCGGGGTTTTTGGGCAAAGAAATTCCTGAAGGCGAAGAGGAGGCAAGAGAAGGAGGTTACATACACTATTCATGGCTTTCCCATTGCCATGCAGGTACACAAGTTTTAAATAGTAGCATATCATGCTTTATTTATTTGTCGTCATGTAGCATCGTGCGTACCATCTCAGTTATTTTATTTCTGTTCGTCTTGATGGAACAGGCTTGGGCGTACGAGGTAGTTCCCGAGATTGGGGAACGTTTTGGTCAGAGAGTTGGGGAACGAATGCCACGATTGCTTAGGTGGTCCGCACAAAAACAACCACAGCATCGTACGTACGATGCATTCTTCAAGAACCTGCGGGTATGGATACCACATGTGTTACTTTTGTTATTCACGTTTCGTGTCATTCCTGAAGCTTTTCGTTTCTAATGTATAACCGTATATTGCAGTTGCATGTCTATGCCACACTTCGTCCCACCAATGTTGAGGCGGAACAGCAGTATTTCTCCACTCTCGTACCGTACGATGATCCTCCGGTGCCTGTGCTGGATGAGATTGCCAGGAATGTTGTGGGGCCGCAGTTTAATGCATCACACGGAGGTAGTGGAAGTGGCAGTCAGTTGGTGAGGCAGGAATCCGATGACGGAGTCTCCAGTGGAGGAAGTGGTGAGGATGAGACGTCTGGAGATGAAGGTGCCAATACCGAGGAGAGTGGCGAGGGCGCCAGTGAGCGATCCAGGGTCGGTGTGGATACTTGTCGAGGGCAGACCGGTGCGTCTTCCACACCTCCAGCGACCCACATTTCTTCTCCAGTGCGAGGGCCGACGATGGAGACACAACCAGTTGGCACATTCGGATAAGGCCTCACCAAAGAGGAGGTGGAAGAGTTGTTGTTCGACCAAAGAATTCTCTTTGAAATGCGACTCCGCACCGTCAAGCTTGAAATCGAACAGCACGTGACATCCGAATGTAAAAAACTCGGAGCTTTCTTTGCTACCCTCGTGGCCTCACCTGCTCCGACCCCCGTTGCAGCCGTGATGCCCGCCGATACCGAGGCTGGAGTTTCAGGTAGTATTCTGCAAGGTATGAATGTTCAATACATAAACCGTTTGGTTTATATTTTTCACCTATGTTCGACAATAGCACATGCACCTGTAGCTCACATTTTTTTCCATACAACAATTACAAGTTAGAAATACATGGAGGAGAAATGGAGCCTTCCCCGGATGAGCGAGACATGCGAGCAGATACAAGAACTGAACATGTACAAGGTACATGGGATATTTATGAGCGCATTGAAACTTGTTATTTGACGAACTTTGTATGTTGTGGAAGTTGGGAAACCTAATGTATTCACATAGTTTTCATGTTCTCATCAACAGATGGAGGAGACATCGCGGCTCACCCGGACAACGTACACGACCCACTGCCCGTAGCAACCGACGAACAGATAGGTACGTTGTCATGTGCTACGATTTTTCCTTACTATATTCGATGGGAATTATTTTTCTCATTTTCTTTCTTCCTGTACGCTTCCATTAGCTTCCAACTGCAAACGTCGAACACATACGCAGTTACATATATGTTGTAATATCAGATGGAGGAGCCATGGAGCCCTCACATGCGGCCCCAAGCAACGATGCCGACTTACAGGGTTGCGATGTTACGGATGGTGATGGTAAGTTCATTCTCTGCATCACTTATTGTATGTTACGTATGGTACGTGAAGGGTATTTATGATCACTAACTCCCCCTCCTTTTGAATTCTCATAGGCGATCTCACTGAAGTCCTTGTTCCCGCCAGTATAGCCGAACCAGGACACGAAATTCCTACGACGAGTCGGCACTCGGCACGGGTGCGATGTCCAGCTCCTGCGGCTAAGACTCCGTATACAAGGGCGGCGAAGCGAACAAAGAAGTAAAAGGAGTATGAATTGTCGGGACAACACAACGGTGGTGTTGTAGTTGGTAATACCCTGTCAGCGATTTGGTGGAGGTGGTGATGGATGTTAACTTGTTGGATAAATAACTTTTGCTTGAATTCATTTTACATTACATTTTAATTACTCTTGTGTACCGTGGTGATACGTGGACAGATTCCTCATATTTTATGTTGCTTGGCTGATCGGTAGTTGTAGTGTTTATGAATTGTGTCTAGTATTTTAACTTTGTTGATTGTATGAGTCAGGTTCATTTTGTTGTTCGGTATATGTTTTTGTTGGACATATTGTGTGCGCTTATTTTCTTTTGGAGGAGGGGAACAAGCGTATGCAACATGTCAATTTCCCAAAATGCTTTGTAAGTACTGTTTTGTTGATATTGTTGATATTCGATTTATTTTATTATAGATGTAGTAATATACTTCGAGTCTTTAAGATTTTCTAATTTGTGTTACGCTTCTTACACCCGTGTTGCTTATGTTAAATAGTGAATGTTTTAGTGAATGTTATATTTGATAAATTTATGTAGTGGACATAATATGATGTAAACACTGTCATAATATGCTTTAAATACATGTGCAGGTATGTGCGCATATTTTTCGTTGTGTGCTTATGTATGTACTTATCTGTTGTTCTAATTATATCTAGTTTTCACTATAGCTTTAATTTGGGACGATATTATTACGATAAATTCTCAAAGTAAGGCATTAAGGCACATACATGAGATGCAACGAGAAGATGAGTCGTTACAAGTGTCAAGAGCATGACAACCACAGTAAAAGTAATTCATAAATCAATGAATTGAGTAAAAATAATTATTTCGTTGTTCGTCTTCCATGTGTGTTGCGATGATGACCCGTACGTGTGAGAAACTATACCATTACAACCATGGCAAATTAAAAGTAGCAATTTGATTGAATAGTTTTTTGTTGTAGATATGGACATTTCCTTAATTGTGCACATGATTAAAGAGTGTTTAACATTGTACTAAGTATGGGGAAATGGGGGATAAAGGTACACTTCATTTATTCAACTATCACACCAAGTGCATTTCAAATTTATAAGGAGATTGGACTTGGTGGTTGGGTAGATGGAGACCATAATTGTTTCCCCTTCAATTAGCTTATAAATACTGTGGGATTTCATTCTCACTTACAAACAAGTTCCTTCAAGACCATTGTCACCCATTCACCTTCTCACAGACACTTATCATTCCTTCAGTACTACTATACGTTCACGTAATGAGTTCTTCCACTGCCAGTTCTTGGTTCATCTCCGCTTTTTCCAATTTATATTTCGTCAGATGAGGAGGAAGTTAACCCTCATATTGGGAGGGGAGCCATTTCTCCTATTCCTTTTCCCAACTTAGAAGTTGTTTCCAACGAGGGTGCGCAATCACCAACTGGAGTCCTCAATGAGGAGTTCGAGCTGGATGTCGGATACGAGGGGGATTCCGATGATGAGGACGACTGGATGGCGTACGATCCCCCAAATGTGGTAATTATCATCTCTTCCGACGAGTCAGGTGAGGATAGCGGGGACGGTGGTTCAGTTGTGGACGACGACTAAAGTGACACCCATGGAATGTAGTGAATAAGTACTGTATAGTAAGGTATTTTGTAGGGATAACTTTAGTTAAGACAATACCAAAAAGTCCACATGAACATGTCCCTAAGATGCAATTCGTGTCATTTTTTTGCGTTTTCCGGTCGAACTGTCGAGAATTACTAAGACTATCTGTCGGGTACGACATGTCAACTGTCGGGCAATAAGGATAATATGTACAAAAATGGTTATGTATTTTGCAGTATGTAAAACGGCTATTGTGAAAGGTGTGTATCATGGACTAACTTTAATCCATGATTTACGATGACGCAAATGATTGTACATTTCTTCGGGATTCAAGATTGCGTTTTGCACTACCTTTAATTTCGATTTAAGATGATGCTAATGATAGTAAATCTGTAGGGAGATAGAAGATTGCGTTTCGAAATGGAAAAAAAAAATATATGTACAGTATCAAACATTTTCCATTCTCGTGTTTAGAGGTCACAACATGTATGTGTGATGCAGACCGTGAGTGCAGTGCAAGGTTCCGTCAACCGTCGAGAATAAGTAACACATCTATTGGGACCGACATTTGAACTGGGCAAGATGTTTACTACGTGCTGGACAGAGAGTGAAATTTTTATGTGCACAACAGGATGCGCAACATGCAAGAACATTAATGATCACAAACTGTAAATCATAACTTCATAATGTTCGATGTAGTAAGGAATAATTAACATACAACATCTATTAACCTGCAAATCTTTAAGGAGCATGTGATACACGGGGGGTTTGAACACGTGGTCCGATTATGACCAACTCTACCACAGCGGGTACATTTTCTGGTAGACCATGCATACTCATACCTAGAACGCTTACGGTGGGTTGGTGGTCTACCTGGAGGACGACGTACGAGTGGTGGAAAAATAGGAGTACATGTAATTAAGCTCGGAACAACCCAATCCACTTCCCTCGGAACAGGATATATAGTTTCGCTGTGGGCACCCTTCCAGTAGTCCGATGAATAATAATGGGAGCAAAGCTCGTACAACATCTTCCCTCTAAAGCAAGCAGCATGACTTGCATGAATACATGGCATACGGTTTAGTTGGAACTCACGACATGTGCAGGTTTCTTCGGACAAGTTAACTATGTCCGTGTTGTTGGATATTCCAACCTGCGTCAAGTTGTTTGTCAGGACATGGGCTCGAAGCCTAGTTCCATTTTCGAAAGTCGTCCGTAGCTCGTTCTCCATCCTTGGTGTCAATAAGGTACTGCATTTTTCCGCATTTGCTCGACGTTCGTAAAACCACTTCTGCATAGTACTTCGAATGTGTTCAACCAAGCAGGTTATCGGTAACGACCGGGCTTCTCTCAACATTGTGTTCAACGACTCTGCATTGTTGTTTGTCATAATATTGTAACGGTGTCCAATAAATAGTGCTCTGGACCAAAATGAATATCCCGCTCGCTCCAAGTACCAGTGCGCTCTTTCGCTCACTCTACGAATCTGTTCCATGAGTCGTTCAAAGTCCTCGACCCGAAAAGTTGTAGCAGCTCGTTTGAATAGAAATAATAGGCTTGCGTTGTTATACCGCTGTATTAGGTTCTTTTCCATATGCCATATACAATAACCATGCTGAGACGACGGAAACAACTGAGAAATAGCTTTCTGAATACTCTTTTTCCTGTCTAAAACGAACACGAGTTCTTCAGAATCCCTATAAGGTCTTTCAAGTTCGACAAAAACCACTTCCACGATTTATTGGTTTCAGCATCCACGATTCCCCTTGCCAACGGATAAATCTGTTTATTACTATCTTGGGCAGTTGCCACTAGGAGTGTACCTTTGTATGGACCTTTCAAGTGACTGTCATCAACACAAATAACGGGTCTTAAGTACTGCATGTATCCACGAATGCTTGCACCAAAAGCTACAAAGAAGTAACAAAACCTATTACAAGAATCAACTTCGATGTGGGTAACGGTCCCCGGGTTACTTTCTCCTACGACGTGACAGTACGAAGATAATTTCTGAAAACTGTCCCTTGGTGTACCATGTAGCATATTTAAGGCATGGAGCTTCCCCCTACGTGCTTTGCTATAACTGATTTTCATACCAAACTCAAGTTCCATATCACGTGCAATATGAGTAGGCGGATATGATCGGTATGGAGTATCCAATTTTCCCAAAATGTGCTCTGCAATTACAGGACTAGTGGCATGCCGATGTACGTTACGACGAAAATCAAGGGAACATGTGTGAACTGCAACGAACTTACGGATCATGAAGATTGCAGATTGCTTGACAATAGAAGCACGTATCATCCACTTGCAATTATCATCCACACAGACAACTGTTAACATTTTCAAGCTTGACCTGCTTACCCGGAATTGGAACTTCTCTTGCAAAGCAAGTACATGAAGTTTCGAGTACAACTGTTTCTTGGTAAAGAATATTTGCTTCTCGGCGAGAACCGATGTATTTGCAGCTGTAATCCACTCATCTGTGCACGAACGTCTGGAATTTGATGACATTGTCTCGTCTATTTCAGCAATAATAGCACAATCTGTACCATGTAATGGGTTCTCTAAGTGTTCGACGGATGCTGCAGCCTCTATACGCTCAATTGGAGGTTCGGTTTGCGACACACTGTGCTAATGATTCATCTCGTCATGTTGTACATTCAGTGGACATTCCGTTGGGCCGAACAAGTTCCCTTCACAGTTTGCATCTATTGCCATACCAACAATCGGGAGCTCGGATACCAAATATGTGATGCAGAGTGCAGTTTCCTTATGAACAAATATGTACCACTGTAGATCCTCATTGTCGCGTATCTCTGCCGGAGGTAGATTCAAGTTTCGGGACTTTGAACTTCAATTCGATTGCATTGCGGGATTCAACGATACCAAGTTTCTCCTTCAATAGTAACACAAGTTTTGCTACGGTAATACTTCTCGACACTAAAATGGAAGTGGTTTTGTTCCCTCTCCACTTCCATTCATCATCTGAGTGAACGAAGTTTCCTCCATGCGACACGATGAATCTGAAATCATGACTCATACTTGAAATGTTGGGACTGCAAAAGTGAGAATTCTGCACATTCATATGTCGACATTTCATAACATCAAATTGGAACACGAAAATACTTACATCCATGTACTACCAAAGATATAAAAGATGATCAGTTTTCAGGTGTCAAAATCGACAATTACATTTTCTATCCCGACAGTCAGTAAATGTCGAGTTCGACAGTTAAAATGTCTAACCCGACAGTTTTCAAGATACTGCTCGACAGTTCTACTGCCATAACTTTCGAGAAAGATAAATTTCATGTGCTTCACTGTTTGACGAATTTATTGAAAACGGTAAAGGCCATAATAAATTCTGAACTACAATATCATTGTATCTTTTTAGAAATGAACAAGGTATCATTTAATGCTTCATTAAATGTTGAATTATATATGGAATACTTCACATTTTCTATATAATATTGGTATAATTTTTCTTTATAAAATATACCAAAAATTAACTACATCAATGAATAAGAGATTGAAAGGGTTCATTTAAATATGATCATATTGTATTGAACATTTAAAGTAGTCAACTATGACATGAGATGAAATTTTTTCTACTACCTCACCTTTCAAATTTGTCAATGGCTTTCCTTGTTTCCTTGTTGATGATGGAGTGGAGATGATGAAGAAGAAGAAGCTCTTTCAATTCGTATGTGTGTGTGTATTTTGTAAAGATTTCACCCCTTTTTTAATAAAAAAAATTTTATTATACAATATAATATCATATCTTCAATATTAAATTTAAAGCAAAAATAAATTAATCACATCATAACATTAATTGCATTCAAATCAAGCATTTATTGCTCCGAGAAGGTGTTAAAAGGTAAAGTGGACATTTTGTAGGGAAAAATTGACATTCTTAGAAGAAATTGGTGAATGTCCAAATTTTTTTTGCATTTTCAATTTTAGTGACATTTGTGTAAATTTCCCTTGATTTTATTACCTTTGGAATGGGGCCCGCATATTTTTCCACACCTAACACGCAAACAATAGGTGACCTTTCAAATGCATACTTTATGCTAATTGTCATTTATGCCCTTCATTGTTGGGCAAGTTTAAAATCATAGCAAGGTAGATTGGTAATTTTAAAAAATGTAGTCCATAATTGTAGATGCTTTTGAAATTCTAACGGTAACAATTTTCATTAAAATTTGCTCTTAATCAATCCTAGACAAGCGCAAAAAATCAAAAGAGACCTTGTGTAATTAGTCAATTTTTCATAGTTTCAAGTGATTCCTTTACTTAACAATAATGAAAAAAAAGTTTGTGTTCGTTATCTCTGGACTTTTACCTGTTTATGTTTAATGATAGCCTCACGAGTTTGGAAAGGACTAAAATATAATAAATAGCATTCTATCTTCAAAAAATGTAAGTATGAGAAGACCGAAACAAAACAGAAAAAATAGGGAGAGAAGAATAAACAATGAACCGTTTACATACCTATCGAAAATCGAGTTGAGAGTTTGATGAGCTACAAAACCTTGTCCTATTTCTTTGGATTGTCTTTGGTCTTCGATTTATTATCTTTTAAGATTATGGATAAGACAAAGACGAGGATAAAATTGCATTTGCTAATTTTCTTAAAAAATATATAAAAACATGAGTACTTATAGACACTGTTGTCGACGTGAGGCGTATATAAAGTGTATTCCTAGAATCACTCTTGAATGTGGTTAGTTAGGAAAGTTTACTGACACATCCCACCCCGTGTAACACCACTAGATCCGGATGTGGTATGCGTCGATGATAGATACCAATTAAAAGTAGGACCCACCATCAAAGCTACTACAAATACAATATATCACTTTTTATACATTATTTTTCTAATAGGGTTTCGACATTATCTCCCCTGTAAATAGGACTAACCAACCTGTGATCAATTTCACACAAATCCCAAACTATAGCACAACACAACAAAGATAAGCCGAAATCTCAACCATTACCAAAAAATAAAATGAAATATACATATGGATACAAAATACAAAGTGAGCCCTATAACTATCTACAAGTGATGTGAAATCACATCTAGACATGAACATGCGTCCCAAAACACTGACTACATGTTCTATGAAGTGAGTCATACTAAAAAACTCTGTCTTGTGACTCTGACTCCAAAATCAAGGCTCAACTCTAAAAAATGTCCAGATTCTCAACTGCTGCCTGATAAGGAAAAACGTGGAAAAATATATAAGTTGATAGCTCAGTAAGTGAAGAAGTTAAAAATAAATATACCTTTTCATTTATACATTTTTATTGAAAATAAAATTCATATCATTTGATAATTCACACGCTACCATCAGGTAATTATAGCCAAAAAATGAAATATTCACATAACATCATCAAATATCATTTTAAAATCATGATATGAATATCAGCTGACAACCATTCTATAATCTCATCACATCAAATGTGCTGAAAAATCCACCAAAAATGTACTCTCTGACTAAAATATATAATCCGCCCCTCGGGTTAAGAACTTTCGCCAATGGCCTTTGGCCCCCTCCGTGAACGAAAGTCGGTCTCAAAAACTTCTCATAATCAATTTTAGAATACGGTCAAGGCGTTCATGTGCACTATATGTACACGATCAAGACCAATGTTAGGTCAAGACCCTCTGTGTAGGATAGAACAAGGTCAAGGCCCCTCTGTGAACTAGAAGAAGTATATAATCATGGGTACTTTTCTGGCCGATCTCAATATTGCATGTCTCACTTACCAAACAAATCTCAATATCACATGTTTTACATACCAAGTTACAAATATGCCATTGATAATCTTTGATATTCTACATATATCATAATAAAAGAGATTTCCATAATAATCATGTAATTCGAACACATAATTGCATATACTTTAACAATATATTTAATTTATAAATATTTTAAAAATATTTATATTTTTCCACTTATAGAACTATGTACGCAGAAATCAACTTGATTGGTACGCTGTTCCAATATCCGCATCGCCGTTTGAAATATGATATAATTTTTAAATCAATAATTAACTATTTTAAGAAATTCCATTAATTAAATAGGCGATACCCAAACTTAATTATTTCACGTTTAGGTGATTTCTAAAGTCTTTTTAATTACTAAAACTAATTTTTATTCATTTTACTCAATTTCATAGTTTATTATAGTTAATCCCTTCAATAAAATTGAATTTAATCTAACAATCTAATAATTATAAAATCAAACATAACCTTTAAATAAGTAACTTTTACTTACCTTTTAAAATTGAAAAATTCAAGTCTAATAGTATAACTCATTTAATTCCTAACACGTTGGCAAGTTCCCCCCCCCCCCCCCCCCCTTTTCCCTCTTTTCCCCTTTTTCCTTTCTCTTTTTCTCTTGTTCTTCTCTGTACTCCCTTTTTTGTGTGTGTTGTTTGTTATTAATTTGGTTTTGGGTGGAATTGGACCGCCTCGTTATTCTACATTTTTTTTGTTGACTTTATTTTTTATTATTATTAAATTTAATGTATTACAAAACTCACCCCCTTAAAAGAATTTCGTCCTCGAAATTCAATAGATCATGTATGAAAAAGTCGTGGATACTGAGAACGCATCTGCTATTTACTTTCCCATGTCGCTTCTTCTATAGCATGATTCCTCCACAAGACTTTAACCAAGGGAATAGTCTTACTACGCAAGGCCTGTTCCTTTCTGTCAAATATCTGAACTGGTTCCTCTTCATAAGTAAGATTTCCTTTCAGCTCTACTGGTTGTGATTCCAAAACATGAGATGGATCTGAAATATACTTACGAAGTATGGAAGCATGGAATACATCATGAATTCTGGACAATTCTGTTGGCAAAGCCAATCGATACGCAACTGGACCGATGCGTTCAACAATCTCATATGGGCCAATATAGCTCGGACTCAATTTACCTAATCTTATAACACCTTTCCATGGCGACAATCGCAGGAAAACTCTATCTCCAACATCAAATTCATGGTTTCTTCTGCGTCTATCTGCATAGTTTTTTGTCTATCTTGGGCTGTCTTTAACTTTTCTTTAATTATCTTTACTTTCTTAGCAGTAATCTGGACATATTTAGGACCCAATAACTTTCTTTAGCCAACTTCATCACAACATACTAGAGTTTTACATTTCCTACCATACAGTGCTTCAAAATGAGCCATTTCTATACTCAAATGATAACTGTTATTATAAGCAAACTCCATCAAAGAAAGATGAGTATCCCAATTCCCTTTGAACTGTAGTACACAAGCTTGTAACATGTCTTCCAAAGTCTGAATAGTTCTTTCTGACTGACCTTCTGTTTGTAGATGAAAAGCTATGTTGAAATGAAGTTTAGTGCCCATAGCTTTCAGCAAACTGGGCCAAAATTTAGAAGTGAAACGAGAATCTCTATCTGAAACAATAGATACTGGTGCCCCATATAAACTGATTATCTCATCAACATATATTTTTACCAATTCATTTAACGAGTAAGTGACTTTAATAGGCAAAAAATTAGTAGTTTTTGTCAATCTGTCTACAATGATCCATATGTCATCATGTCCACTCTGAGTCCGTGGAAGTCCAAATAGAAAATCTATAGTAATGTGTTCCCATTTCCACTCAGGAATAGGCAACGTTTGTAACAATCATGGTTTTTTCTGATGACCTGGTTTCACTTGTTGGCAAATGAGGCATCTGGATACAAACTCGGCCATTTCTCCCTTCATTCCCTACCACCAATAGTGTTCTTTGAGCACACAATACATTTTTATACTACCTGGAT